GACTCATAGAATATTGGCGTTGGGAAGCTGCCAGCGGTCATCTAGGCTAGAGAGAGCAAATTGATGGCCTGCAGTCAGAATTGGCTTCAAATGTGTTTTCTTTGGCCAGCTTGGTGTGGGTCCATAATGTGTTTCTAAATTTTTTGGATTAGTCACCAATATTTTTAAATTTTTGGATTAGTCATCAATATCTCCCTCTTTGCCTTTGAAATATCGAGAATCTGGCCACCCTGGGCTGGTAGCCCTCCCAAGACCACAGGGGCCGAAGCCCCTTCTCAGCCCCTTGGGACACATGCTCTGCAGTTTTCCACAGTCAAACCAACGCATTCTCTCTAGTGCACCCCTACCATTGAGACTGCCGCCATTGATCCTCATCCTAACTGTGGTTTTTGTTTGAGTAAGATTAATGGTGAGTGGATATTCCTTCTGTTGTTGTTGTTTGTTTATTAATCCTCAACCAAGGATATTTTTCCCCATTGATTTTTTTAGAGAAAAGGGAGGGGAGAGACAGAGAAACATCAGTGTGAGAGAGACAAATCGATTGCTTGTCTCCTGCAAGCACCCAAACCAGGGCCAGGGAGGAGCCTGCCAGCAAGGAATGTGCCCTTGACCGGAATCAAACCTGGGACGGGACCCTTCAGTTCGAGGGCTGATGCTTTATCCACTGAGACAAGCCAGCTAGAGCGAAAGTAGATATTATTTCCTAAACTTGTTCCTCTGTCCTGATGGAAATGTGAAAGATGGGCCCGGAGGGTAGCATGCGGAAGGAAATGCAGTGGGAAGTGTACTGTGGAAGGTACCTCCGTGTACTCTGCATGGAAAGAATTTATCTTCAGATGCCTGGACCACTTTGCCCGTTTGTGCTGCCCACCTGGTCCCTGCAGGCCTCTTGCTGTGACCTGTGACCAGAATCACCTGTCTGGTCTGCGAGCTCAGAGACATGCCGACACTTGCTCTGCTAAGGAATCATTCTGGTCCCTGCCAAACCACTGTGTTCTTTTCGAGAGCTCACGGGACAGGGGAGTGAGAGCTCGAACTGGGGCAGAGAGGGGTTTTTAATAAGAATCTGTGAGCAACCAAAAACTGAAAACGAAAAGAATCAAAACCATCAGTTTGTGTATAGTCTCCTGGAAGAGCACAGAGTTCCAGCCTTTGTAGCTTTGTGGAAAGAGAGCAGACGGGGTCAAGCCAATTTACTTTCCTGTTCCGAACAGAAAGAAGACAGCACATAAGGGGAAGCAGAGAGAGAATGTGTATGATTCAGAGAACAACTTTGGGGTGTTTTGCATGTGCTACTGCTTGTTAGGATTGTAGGAGACAGAGATCAAAGGGGCGGCTTCTTACCAGTAAGTATTCGGGGCCTGAGGAGGGCATGAGGGGGTCGTGTTGACCCCAAGATGGCTTTTGGACAGTGGGAGACCTGAGAATGGCCTATGGCCCTTAACTCTCTGGATCCTGTTTCTTCATCCGCTTTCCTTGCTTATCTTATGAGATGGTTCCGAGGATCAAGCAAGACAGCACACGTTGAAGAATTGTGAAAGCTCGAAGGCCTCCTGGGTACAGATGAGAAGGCAGAAGGAGCTTTGGGATCCTTCTCCACAGCCAGTCCATCAGCTGCTGCTTTTGATTCTGTCACCCACCTCTCTCCGAACTTGTCTTCTCTCCACCGCTCTGCCACCTTCCTAGTGCAGGCCCCCACCACCATCCCTGCAGGTGCCTTCTAACCTCTCCCTGCCTCTCTAACCCATTCAACAGACGGCAGGAGAGGGATTGTTACAGATATGTGTGTAACTAATATCCTCTAGTAGCTTTCCACGTAAGGGGGTCCTTGGTCCCAGGGCCTGTATCTCTGTAGCCTGCCTCACCCCTGCTCTCCAGCTTCACCTCATTCCTCAGCCCACCCGTCCTCCTGAGCTCTCCCCACTGCATATCTCGGCTTCCCTGGCCCTTTCACCCTTCATGAGGCTTCTGCTCCTTGTTATTTTCCCCTCAGCCTTTACTTCTCCCCTCGACCCGGAGTTCAACCAGGGGGCAGGGCCTGCTGGCCAACTGTCCACAGCGCCCCCCCCCCCCCCCCCCCGCAGGCCCAGCTCAATCAGCCAGGCCGGTTGGACCTCACCCGTGCACAAATTTGTGTACCGGGCCTCCAGTATAATATAAAATTTACAGTCCTTGCTATTTCTAAGTGTCCATTTCAGTAGTGTTAAGTACATCCATATTGTTGGACAAAGTATCTTGCAAAACTAAAACTTTGTACCCATTAAACAGCAATTCTCCTTTCCCCTTTCCCCATCCCCTAGCAACCATCATTCTACTTTCTTTTCTTTTTTTTTAATTAATCCTCACCTGAGGATATTTTCCCATTGATTTTTAGAGAGAGTGAAAGGGAGCAGGAGAGACAGAAAAAGAGAGAAACATTGATGTGAGAGAGACGCATCAATTGATTGCCTCCCACACACACTCCAACCAGGGCCGTTGATTAAGCCTGCAACCCAAGTACATGCCCTTGACCGGAATTGAACCTGGACCTTTCAGTCCACACACTATCCATTGAGCCAAACTGGCTAGGGCCATTCTACTTTCTGTGTCTATGAATTTGACTACTTTAGGAACTGCATATGATGGAATCATGCAGTATTTATCTCTTCATGGCTGGCTTATTTAGCGTAGTATCCTTTAGCTTCATCTGTGCTGTAGTATGTGATAGGATTTCCTTCCTCTTTAATGCTGAGTCATATTCTTTTGTGTGTGTAACCACATTTTGTTTCTCCATTCATCTGTCGATAGACACTTGGTTGTTCCCACCCTTGGCTATGGAATAATGCTCTATGAACAACGGTGTGCAAATGTCTCTTCAAGACCCTGATCCCAGTTCTTTTGAGTATATATCCAGTTGTTGGATTGCTAGATCATGTGATAGTTCTGTTTTTAACTCTGAGGCTCCACCATACTGTTTTCCACAGTGACTGTGCCATTTTATATTCCCATAGACAATGCACAGATTCTAATTTATGCACATCCTTGCCAACACTTGTTATTTTCTATGTTTTTACCCCCACCCCCACTGCTGCATTATGGCCATCCTAATGAGTGTCAGGTGGTGTCTCGCTGTCGTTTCAGTTTGTGTTTTCCTAGTGATAGTGATGTTGAGCGCCTTTTCGTGTACCTGTCGCCCATTGGTATGTCTTATTTAGAGAAGTATTTATTGAAGCCCATTGAATAGACATTTTTAGAGTAATTGCTTGTTTTTGTTGCTCTAGAATTCTTCGGCTTCCGATTTTTCAGGATAGGACAGTTGGATGTGGCCTACTAGGCCCCAAAAGGGCAGGGTCATGCTCACCTTGCTCATTGCCATCTCCTCAGTGCCCAGCGTGGAGCTTTGGACTTGGTACCATGTGCCTGTCTGTAGGTAGCTGGACATTTATTTCAGTCTCCTTGCGGGTCTGTGCATCCTGCAGCCCGGGCAGAGTCTTCTATCCCTATTTCAACAACTAGCACAGTAGGTCTCTGTGGAAAGGAGTGGGGAGAGGAAAAAGGAGTGTGTCTGGTTTCAGAGTTCATGTGCTCCCTGTCCTTGCCATCCCCCTCACCCCTGCCCGCTGTCACAGTCCCCCAGCCCAGGGTATCGGAAGCTGCAGTTGACCCTCAGTGACCTAACGGGCTCTGCTTTGTCTTTTGACTCTCCTGACACACACAACCAGAGAGAGACAGCATCCCAGCAGGGTGATGACTCATGCATGTGACTCAGCGAGAATGCAGCACAGCTGGAAGGGCGGCCAGTGTGTCTGCTGGTGGGAGGGCAGTTACCAAGCAGCAGCCATCCAGGCCCAAGTTCACAAACTCTGGGGCCCTGCGTCTGCTACTCAGACGTGGGTATAAGTCCTCTGTCCACGGAGAAAGAGACTGAACTAGCCGAGCTTCAGAAGACTTACTATATCTAGAATTACTATTAAATAATATTTTCATAAACCATTTATTGCATGTTCACCATAGTCATAGTGAACATGCACTGTGATAACCATCTTGCCTGCAAATTATCTCATCTTATTCTCATAACTAGAGGCCCCGGGGGGCGGATTCCTTAGCCCTGCATCCTCTGACAGTCTGGAAGCCCTTGGGGGATATCCAACTGATGACTTAGGCCCGTTCCCCCTGGGCCTAAGCCGACAGTCAGACATCCTTAGCAATGCTGTGAGCTTGGCTTCTGGCTGAGCAGTGCTTTTCCTGTGGGAGTGCACTGACCACCACCCCTGCATTAAGCATCTGCCCCCTGGTGGTCAGTGCCGGTCATAGTGACTGGTCGTTCTGCTGTTTGGTTGATTTGCATATTAGCCTTTTATTATATAGGATAGTGTACTTCTCCTAACACGGACAACACAAATAATAGCAAATACATATGTAGCAGATACCATTCTAAGCACTTTGCATTAAGTCATCTAATTCTCACAATAACCTTACGATTCAGAAACTGCTGTTACCTTCATTTTACAGATGAGGAAACTGAGGCACAGAAAGGCCACCCATTAGAGGTGCCCCAGAGTCACGTAGGAAGTAAATGGCAGCTGTGATACCAACTCGGGCTTCTCAGTCCACACTCTGAACCCCTGTGCTGTGCCTCTCTGATAAAGTGTAACACGGGAAGGAACTGCAGCTCCGTTCACAGGGGAAGGAACTGCAGCTCAGAGAGGGCGTTCGCTTCCCCGTGGACACACCGCCCGGAGTGATCGCGATGGGCTGTCTCCAGCCCCTGGCTTGTGACCACTGTGCTCTCCTGCCCAGGCTCAGGAGGTGGAGTCGTCACACACGGGCGTGTGCTTGATTCCCCTGAGCCCTCCCCGCGGGCACTTTCCCAGGGTCAAGGCCAGAGGTAGGATTCCGGGGAAGAAACTATTCCTTCCAAAGGAAAGCACTGACGATGCGTCCAGGTCTGCTTTCAGTCTTGGGTCCCAGCGCGCTTCCTGGCCCCGAGAATGCTGACGTGGCTCCTCTTCCCTCCTCAGACAGCGAGACGGTGCACTACCACTACGGGCCGAAGGACCTGGTCACAATCCTGTTCTACATCTTCATCGCCATCATCTTGCACGCCGTGGTCCAGGAGTACATTCTAGACGTGAGTGATGCGCCTGGATTCCGAAACCAGAAACGGGGGCGATGCGTGGGCCGCAGGGGCTCACCGGGGAGGAGCTCTGAACCTCGTCACCCCCGGTTTCATGCCCCGGTGGGTCCCGCTGACGGGCCATCTCTCACACACTTTGGTCTCTGCCCCTCTCACAGGCTTCTTTAGGCGGCACACGGAGCAGCAGTGTTTATTGCGCGGCGGGAACTGCCTGAACTAAGGCAGGACAGCGCCCCTGTGGTCTGTCCTACAGGCTGGTTTTGGGCTGCTTTCTTTACATCTAGGCCGCGGACGCTGATCTCGCTGCTTCCTCTAAATACTGGTGCACGTGGCACTCTGCACACAGTAGTCCTACACTGGATAACGATGGTTACGGCTGGCTTCCAACTTGAACCTTTTTTTTGTGTGTGGGAAGAAGCAGGCATTTGAAAGCTGCCCGTTACCAATACACTTGTATGTTAACATGTGGGATTCTCTTTATTCTTTAGAAAATCAGCAAAAGGCTTCATCTCTCCAAGGTCAAACACAGCAAGTTCAACGAGTCAGGACAGCTGGTGGTCTTTCATCTCAGCTCGGTGATCTGGTGCTTCTACGTGGCGGTGACGGTGAGTGGTCCTCGGTGATTTTCTCCCCGGGGAAGGAGATGAGGAAGGAGCTGTGTGGGAGACTTGGGGCTGTTCCTTAGAACTGAAGCTATTTTTCCATCCTCGTGGTACTGTGAGAGAGGGCCGGAGCGATCCAAATGCCATTCTTACAGCTAGAGAGAGTCATCTTGCCCAAGGGGAACACTTGTTGTAGTTATTGAGTGAGGTTACAGTAATGGTACCGTATCTTTGCATGGCCCTGTATCTCTGGATGGCCCTGTATCATGTTACAGGGCGCCCTGCAAAAACAGTCCCACCAGACAAGTTTATGTTCATTGGGGCGCCCGCCCGTGTTAAGAATCGCCAAAACCCAAAATCAGGTTCCAGAGCGTGCTCACGGTCATGTGCTTCCAGAGTGTCCGGGATGGGGTTTGGACTCTGGGTCTGGTTCTGAGTCAAGCGTGCTATCCGTTTTACCGCATTGGCCTCCTGCAGGCAAGTCCAGCAGCCCCCTGTCCGCACATCAAGTCCTGTGAGGGTCAGGGCCATTCCACCGAGCCTGGTGGACCGGTTACCCACCTCCCCTTCCAACCAGAGGACTCTTATTTCAAGCAGCCTTTGATACAGCAGAATTAATTTGAACAAAAGAATGTGGACAGTCCTTTGGGGTTCACTGTAATGAGACCCAGCCTGTCCTGCTAGGAAGTGTTTAATTAACTTTCCCTACCCCACTTCCCAGCCTGGAGCACCACCTGCCTGCAACCTGGCTGCTTCTCAGGGGCTGAATCGTCCCCGGAGAGACCCAGCAGCCCTGCGGCGTTTTAGATATTTCCTCTGCTCTGTCCTGCTTCCTCTTCTTCCTGCACCGACAAGGATGAGCACTCACTCCCTGCCGGGCTCTCTGCTCCAGAGAGTCATTCAATCACAGAACGGTTCTCCTGAACAGAACACGGGGGCGTGAAATGCGGGACCTGAGACTCCTGTCCTGAGCTGGGCTGTTCTGTGCTCTGTCCAGGGGCAGACTTCCAGGCAGCCGTGTGAGCAGCGCCCCCTGCTGTTGTGCGGCACACATCCGGGCCCCACGAAGTCTAGGTGCTTCTGATTGCAGACCTCCTCCAGCCCCCGTGGTTGACTCATGCCTGTCTCTGGGGATCCTGAGCTTCTAGGAGGCAGAAGAGCTCAGGGACCACGTGTAACTGGTCTGTCAGCAGCAGCATTGCCTCATCTCCGCGTGAATCACTCTCACCCTTTCTGCCTCCCCTGACGCTGCACGGCACAGCTGTGACACATCGAGGCCAGATTGGAGGCCCACAGCCAAGTTACTCAGCACCCTTCCCGGGCGTGAAATGCGGCTGCTCTGTCTCTGCTTCTCTGCCTTCACGGGCTTGAAAATGATGATGCTAATTAGTCTGGGAGAATATAGCGCTTGCAGGGGGAAAGCTCATAACAGGCTTTTATTACAGTGACAGACAGCCTGTTCCACACTCAGCATGTCGACAGGAAATGGGGTGGGGGGGAGAGGGACCCTGGACTCCAGTAACTCCACCCCCTGACACCCACAGCTCCTGGCCCCCCCCCCCCTACCTTTCTCACAGGACAGTGCTGGCTGGGATGAGAGTGGCTGAGGAAGAAGAGAGGGCAGTTTTGTGAAAGGAGAGAAAATAGCTAGTTTCATTTAAAAATCACATTTTTATGTTATGACACAATCTTTCTGGATTCTTTTCTTTCACCCTCCACAGATTCCGCCCCCCCTCCCCCCCCCCGAACACACTGAGGTTCTGTCAGCTGCCCTCCACCTGTGAGTGCACGCACGCGCACGCGCATACACACACATACACACACACACACACCCTCACCCTCCCTGGCCAGCGTTCTCTTCAGGCGAGACTCTGCCCCAGGGCATTGTTGGTACCATGCTAGTGGCATCTCGTGGGTACAGGCCAGGGATGCTGCTGAATGTCCTACCGCACACAGGACAGTCCCCACCACGAAGAATGACCCAGTCCCAGATGTCAGTGCCCAGGTTGGGGAGCCCTCCTGTAGTCCCAGCCACCATCATCTCTTGCCTGGACCACCGCACCTCCTCCTCCTAGAAGGAGTCTGTTTTCACGCCTGTACTCTCCTACCCTTTTCTCTTAGCCAGACGGATCTTTTCAGAATGCAAAGCAAACCATGCATTTTCCTGCTTAAAAGTCCCGTCTTTCTTGCAGGGAAACCATTTTCTTCCCGACTCCTGTGCTCTGGGCCCTGCCGGCCTTCCCATCTCATCCACTGGTCCCATCTCATCCACTGGTCCCATCTCATCCCACTGGTCCCATCTCATCCCACTGGTCCCATCTCATCCCACTGGTCCCACCTCATCCCACTGTTCTTCCCTGGCTCCTCCATCCCCGCCACCCCTGCTGGCTCCTTTCTGCTATCAAGTCTCCACCTAACAGCACCTCCTCAGAGACTCCCATTTGTATTTTCTGCACTGCGCCCATTGCTGGGGTGTTTTTCTTGTTCATGTGTGTATTCTCTGCTATCTCTCTCCCTGGACCTCGAGCCGCTCCCTAACTATTGGTTATAAGAATGAATGAACTACAAGATGCATCTTCTTGTCAATGGTTTTTATTTTTCCTCCAAGAGGTTTTAAATTAATGGATTATTTTTATAAACATCATAGATGATTACTTTTTTTTAAAGTATGCACTACATAAAAGTATGAAAAATGAAAACAAAAATTTACCCTCAAATCCCTCCCTCCTGAAAGAACCAGTTTTATTTCAGTGTTTGACTCAGATGCTTCTTTCTGCATTTATACAGGCAGAGTGATGGGAGTGTGGCTGGGCCACCCAACCGTTTTATGAGAATCTCACCTCCTACTTTTAACTTAACCTTTGACCTCCTCTTCATTGGTCAGGACACACACACACACACACACTGAGGAAAGCGGGGTGGGCAGGCATCTGGCCGCCCTGCCTGCCTTACGGGGGATGCCTCACTTCAGGTCCAGCTCTCAGTGTGAACGTGGCAGAGGGAAGACCTTTAGTGCTGGCGCCTGGGTCCGAGCTGGCATTCACTGAGAGGGGCGCTCTCGCATGTGGCTGTTCCCGAGGACAGATGTTACAAGGAATGTCGAGTCCAGGGAGCTGACTGTGTTGTGCTTGGTCCCGCTGTTTCTGTGGTTCTTTTTCATAAGCCAGAAAGGAAGGCTGTGGGAAAGGGAGTGATTGTCCCCGCTTGCTCAGGACTCCCTTAGCTCTTGGTGGGAACCAAAGAGGATGAAGGATTGCAGAAGCTCCCAGGCCCTCTGCCTGGGCTGGCAGGGGAGGGCAGTTAGAGGCAACCAGGCTGGCAAGGGAGGGAAGTTGGAGTGACAAGGCCTGCAGGGGCGGGCAGTTGGGGGTGACCAGGCCAGCAGGGGGGTAGGCAATTAGGGGCAATTGGGCCAGCAGGGGAGCAGTTAGGTGTTGATATGGCTGGCAGGGGAGTGGTTAGGGACAATCAGGCAGGTAAGCGATTGGGCGGGGCTCGGGGTGGGTTGCAGGTGCTCCCTCTGCCATCCTCGGCCCCAGGGCTCTCAGTACTTGGATGACTGAGCTCTGAGGGTGCCCCAGCCCAGGCCCCCCCGCAGGCAGCTGCCTAGCCGGAGGTCTGGAAAAGGCAGTGAGTCATTAGGTCCCAGGCTCCTCCTGCTCCCCTGCTCCGGCCCCTCCTCCAGTCCCCAGGGACTGGCCATTTGCAAGCAGGCAGCATTTTTCTTTGCTTGTTGGCTTCAAAGTGCTGGCCGCCTTGTCTCCCGAGTGAAGGGGCCAAGCCAAGGAGGATTCCTGTCGAAAACCACATGATCAGCTGGGCTTTCATTCCTCCCAGTGCTGTCTCTCTCGGCCAGACACTCCTCTCCCATCTCACTTCCCTCCTGACATTTCCTCTAGAGAGGAGCGTTCTCGCCTCTGTGATTTCCGTGGAACGAGATAGAGAGTGGGTCCGACGTTCTGGTGAAGGCAGGCGAGTGAACAGCAGAGGGATAGCAGCTATGTGGGCGTTCCTACCACCCCCGAATGCCCAGAACCCCCCACTTCTGTGCCCCAGTCTGGGGTGTGACTGAGGAGGAGAGGACGGTGGTCCTGAGAAGAGGCTGGAAATGAAACCATGAGGGTTTGGGGTGAGACCCTTTCCTTCACATCTGCGTTACCATGGCTACACTGGTGCGTGCATTGGATCAAACGTGTCAGTCTGGTCACTGTGCTATTTTTTTTTTTTTTAAATTTTATTGATTTTCCACAGAGAGGAAGGAAGAGGGCTAGAGAGCTAGAAACGTCAATGAGAGAGAAACATCAACCAGCTGCCTTCTGCAAACCCCCAACCAGTGTACATGCCCTTGACTGGAATCGAACCTGGTACCTTTCAGTCCGTAGACCGACGCTTATCTACTGAGCCAAACTGGTTTCGGCTGGTCACTGTGCCATTAAGGCCCAGGATGTGAGGCTGGGGCTGAGGAATACTCCCGGGCATTTAACGCCATGGAGGTGGGTGGATCGGCCCTCACTTGGGAATAAACTGAGGATCCAGTGGACAGGGATGGGGAACCTTTTTTCTGCCAAGGGCCATTTGGGTATTTATAACATCATTTAATGCAATTCACTTACTACAAATGTGTGTTGCTGTGAGAAAAGCTCCTGGATGTGTTGAATTTCGAGTTGTTGTGTGGCACACACAAGGCCTGCGGTTGCCTTGGCGGGGCCCGACCACATGATTTCTCGGTCCTTATATGGCCCACGGGCCGGACGTTCCCCACTCCTGCCCTAGACAGGATGCTGCTGCCTCCTCCTCCTCCCCCTCCTTCTTCTCTTCCTCCTCTTCCTTCTATCTCCTCCTCCTCCTCCTCTTTCTCCTCCATTTATATAGCAGCTTTGCCTGAGGCTGTCTGACCAAGAGGTTGGTGCCCAGTTCAGGTTTTCATTGTGCTACTGAGAAAGCATCTTGTTTCAGGAGATCCTTCCTGCCTGGCCTCCGTTTCCCTGCTTCTGAAATGAAGTGATGCTAACATAGCCCCCCTGCCCTCCTAGTGCAAGGCCAGCCCACGTGCTGGTGGCGGATTGGTTCCTCCCGTGCTTTGTCACCTGGGATTATACACGCATCGTCAGCCAGGGTTTATGCGTGAGAGTCCTGCACGGCCGTGGATGAGAGGGTGCCCCTGTGGTATCCTGGCCCACAGTATTGTTGCTGCTTCCTTAGCCAGGGCGTTTCCGGACCACCCAGGTGGTACAGATGTGAACGCCAAACCCCTGTGAAAGCAAACCCCGGGTTACGCATTGTCAGGGGTAATATTTCTGTTTTCAGCCTCCCCCCAAGGTGAGCAGACATGTCTTCGTCTCTTCTTTCTCTGAGGCGACCGTCCTTTCAGGTCCTAATTTACACCCTACTGCAGGGTCTCAGGCTCCTCCTCCCAGGCCCCCTTCTGTTCCCACCCGGACACGAACCCCTTGGCCCCAACCTCACCTCGCTGCTTGTTCATTCCACGAGCATTTCCTGAGTGCCACCGTAGTAGGCACTGCCACATGAACACACGCTGGCCCATTGATTTCTAACAGTAACTCTGGGAGGGTCCGTACTTTTATCCTCATTTTACAGGCGGGGCAGCTAACGCTCAGGGTCCCGCCTGCTCAGAGGCCAGGGCAGCTCCGGCCTCCAACCCACAGAGCTCCTCCTGCTCTGGCCAGCAAGACCCCACAGGAGAGGCCCTACGTTTCACGGCCCTGTTCTTTCCTCTCTCTGGCAGCTGGGTGTGCCATGTGTCCCTGACCCCTGACCCCTGGGTGTGCCCAGGGCCCCAGCAGGTCTTACCTTCACCTCTCTAAATCCCATCTCTTCTCGCTTACCACAGGAAGGATATTTAACAAACCCGAGGAGCCTCTGGGAAGACTACCCACACGTGTACCTCCCGTGAGTATTCTCAAGACGTGGTCTCCAGGGAGGAACCAGCCGGTCCTCCGGCTCCCTCCCCCCAGAACGCGTCCGGAATCGCTCAGTCAGCTGGAAGGAGGCCCGACACACTGAGCCTGTGAGGGCGCAGTCTGGTGGAGGGCCGCCGGGCCGCTGGCCTGGAGACTCCCACAGTGAAGTGCCGTCTGCACTGGCCCCATCACACAGGAGTCTCCGCTCGGCTGCTAGCACAGAACACTGTGGACTGGGGCTGGGGGTGGCGTGGATGAACCACAGAAATGTACTTCTCAATGGTCTTGCTGGAAGTCCAAGGTCAGGGTGCCCACAGGCCAGGGTGTGGTGAGGGCCACTTCCTGTTCGTAGATAGCATCTCTCTCCCTGGTCCCCACAAGGCCGGGTGGGGGACGGGGGTGCTTTCTGGGGCCTCTCTCACAGGGACATTAATGCCACTCCCAGGGGCTCTGCCCCATCAGCAAGTCCTCTTCTGTAAGCCCCGCCTCCCAATGCATCACACTGGGGTCTAGGGAGTCCGCCTGGACTCTGCAGGGACACAGTTCCATCTATAGCCCGCTCCTAAACCATGTGGGGCACAGACGCAGGGCAGCTCTATCAGGCTCTCTGGCTTTGACCCCTCACACTCAAGCACACCTTCCTTCTGGCTGTCCACGGCCGTGCCCTTCCTCCCCGCTCCGATGAGATGCAGGAGGGCAACACGGGCGCGGTCCCGGGGAGGCCTCATCTGCTGTTCCAAGGCCCGTTGAATAGCACCGAGTCAGACCCTTTGCTCCTGAGGTCCTTTCCTCCTTAAGTATATTCCTGCCCTCTGTTCCACCGAGCTCTCTAGCGTCACCTCTCCCCTCCTCCTCCCCTCTCCGGGCTAAGACCCTCCTCTGCAACCTTTTCATCATTTTTGTTTCTTAATTTTTTTAAAAAAAATTCTCACTTGAGGATATGTTTATTGATTTGAGAGAGAGAGGAATGGGGGGGAGAGAGAGAGAGACAGACATTGATCATTTGCCTCCAATATGTGTCCTGACTGGGAATCGAACCCACAGCCTTTTGGTGTGCTAGACGACTGCTCCAACCAGCTGAGCCAGTGGCCAGGGCTTTTTTTTTTTTTTTTTTAATACATTTTTATTGATTTCAGATAAGAAGTGGGGTGGAGAGAGAGAGAGAGACAGAAACATCAATGATAAAAAGAATCATTGATCAGCTGCCTCCTGCATGCCCCCTACTGGGGATCGAGCCCACAACCCGGGCACATGCCCTTGACGTGAATTGAACCTGGGACCCTTCCGTCTGTAGGCTGACGCTCTATCTACCGAGCCAAACCAGCTAGGGTGGCCAACGCTTATTTTTGCTTCTTTCTGTGTCCTTGAAGTGGTCCTGTCTGTGGAGCCAGGTCCCCAGGCCCAGGAGCCTGGTGCTCACTGACCCCCTTCCCTCCCTCACTCCTGGCCCTTGCCCCTCCCTCCTGTGCTTGGCGGGCACAGGGTCATTTCCCTCTCTCCCTCCCTGTGACTCGCTCCCTTGTCTCCAGCTTCCAGGTGAAGTTTTTCTATGTGTGCCAGCTGGCCTACTGGCTGCACGCACTTCCTGAGCTGTACTTCCAGAAGGTACGGAAGGTGAGTCCTCGGTCCCCCACTGAAGCCCTGTGACACGCCCCCCTCCTCCCCCCCGCTGCTGTACCAGCCATCTCAGTCCCTTCCTGTAGACGCGCAGAGCTGGGTGGTGATGAGAGTGCTGGTGGGCTGAGTAAAATGCTGAGTCAGCACCTGTTAAAGTCCCCCAGGAAGACAGACCTCCCTGAGAGGAGGCCCTCAGCACGTCTCATGCCTGCCTCCCACGCTTACATGTGTGTGGCTGGCAGGGGAAGGGAGGGGGGAGGAGAGAGATCTAACTATTATATCATCATCTCTGGATGGTGTCTGGAGAGGTTTATGCCTTTCCCACACTTTTTTTTTTTCCTTCCTTTTTACATAGCATCCCTCTGAATCATTTCTAAGAACCCTATTCCTTAGTCCCTGTCCTTTCTCTCTCAGCCCAGCCCTGCCCTCTGACTGTGAACCTGAAGCTCGGCCTGGCCCTCAGACTTCGCAGCTGCAGGCCATGGGATCATGGGCCTCCGCCCGACCTGGGACTGTGTTAAAGCAGCCCAGCCCCCGGGCAGGAGGAGGGAGCCAGGCCCGCTTTCCCCCTCCCCTCTGCATTCCGGAGAGCCAGCCCGCTCACTGTCCGCCTCTCTCTCTCGTTCGCAGGAGGAAATCCCCCGCCAGCTCCAGTACATCTGCCTGTACCTGCTCCACATCGCCGGCGCGTACCTCCTCAAGTGAGTGAGACCCGCCGGCCGCATCTCCTCACCCCTCAGGCCTTTGTGTTCGCACGCCTCTCCACACACTGCCTCAACGAGACGCCTTCTGTGTGCAGAGCCCTGGGCTACGGCCTGGGAACACACAGATAGATGGCAGGAGCTTCCGTTGTCTTCAGTGGAGCATCCTCAGTCTCGGAGGAGAGACAGACAGGAGAGGCACTGTGACGTGTCCTCTGCCACCAGAACCCAGAGAGTGACCGCCCGACCCAGGCCAGCCAGGCAGGGCTCCCCAGGGACATCGGCCCCTGGACCGTGCTCTGCAGGTGGGAGGCAGCGGAGGCGGGCTCTGCCTCAGCTCGTCCAGTGGCAGAAGCCGCCAGAGCTCACAGCGCAGAAACCCCTGCCCTTTGGTTTGCCACGAAATGCGGAGTGGCCGCTGGGCTGTTCAGAGGCCGAGAGAGTTGCTGCAGTGTTTGGTCTGGAGTGTCTCTCGTGAAAAGACTCGTAATGGGGGACTAGATATGCCATTGCTAGCGTGGGTTGTTCTTGGGCGGGTAGGGGTGCCCGCCCCTGGGCCTTGTTTGGCTGGCATTCTGCGAACCTCCCGCTAAGCGACCCAGGGTCCTGGGGCCCGGCATCTGCTGAGCCCTCCGTGCATCCTCTGAGAAGGGTGGACTTGGGGGAGCAGTCAGAGGAAGGCGGCTCTCAGACCTGTCCTGTCTCGGGGGCCCCGGGCAATGAGGATTCCTGGCTGGGTCTTGAGGGGCGAAGCCGTGCGGCAGGCCTGCTCTGCTCTTGTGTTGGATGCTCCCGTGTCACGTGCAGCGTGGGTTTGAGGAAGCCAGTCTGTGCCGTCACCCCCGCAGTGTGTGGCAAGGGCAGGGTGGGCAGGCACAGGCAGGACCCCCTGGGAGAGCTTCCCGCTGCTGGCGGGTCTCTTCTTCCTCCCAGAAGTGTGAGGTGCACCAAGGTCCGCTTTTCTCCGCATCTGACACGTCCTGGGGAAGGACAGGCGGTGTCTGACCCTGTTTGCACAGAGTCCTGCGAATGCTTGTTTTGTAATGAGAATCGGACGGAGAGGACAGGGAGCAGCAGATCCTTCAAATTCGCCCCAACCCCCGTTCCCAGGGAAGCCGGCACCGGTTCAAGGTGCAGCCACCTCTCTGCTCATTTAGGGAGCGTGAGCTCCTTCCCCCTCCGCCCTTGTTCTAGTTTCTGAAGTGAATCCAGGGGAAGGAGTGGCCCTCGGCTGCAGGGTTTCTCAGGGAGACAGACCTTTGAGATGCTGGATGGTGTGGGGTCTCGTTTTGGTAAAGAGCTTGGCTTTTGCAGGCCTTCACTCACTCAATACGGGTCTCCTGTGGGCGGGCGCTGCCTCAGGAGCTGAGTTGCATGGGGGTGAAGGAGACAGCCCCTGCTCCCCTGGGGTGTCCCTTCTGGCGGGAGGCAGACCATCAACAGGGACACAAGGGCACAGGGTTTCCCATGGCGGTGTGTGCGCTGGAGGAACTAAAGCAGGGCCTGTAACATCGTGTGCTCCGGGCACTGCGGGTGTGGGGAGGGAGAGCCTCCGAGCAGGTAGCTCCGGCTGAGGCAGGAGTGACAGAGCCAGGTACGTGGAGATCCGGGGAGAGCTGTGCAGGCTGAGGGGACAGCAGGTGCACGGCCCTGAGGGGGAGGTCACGGGCAGGATCGTGTTGGACACTTCGGGCCACGGGAAGACACTGGGGCATTTTCACGTCATTTTCTCGATCATCGTCAGGATGCAGGGACCTTCGTGGTGATTTTGTACTTTGGTCTCGGTGGGTGGAATCGGACGGACCCTTACTTATGGCCGCCTGTGGGAGGGCTCATGCCTTCCTGCTGTTCAGCAGGGGCGGAGCTTTCGCTCGCATTTGGGCGACAGCTGACCTTCTGCAGCAGGCTGCCCGGGGAAGCCGGTGGCAGTGTCATGCCTGGGATCGAGCAGAGGGGTGTCTCGGGTGCTGTTGGTTTTTGTTTCTTTTGGTATTGGTTTTTATTGGTTTTTAAAGAGAGAAAGAGGAAGAGGGAGGGTGAGAGAGAGAGAGAAACATCAGTGGTGAAAGAGAATCATGCTCGACTGCCTCCTGCACGCCCCACACTGGGGATCGAGGCCGCCACCTGGGCGTGCGCCCTGGCCGGGAATCGAGCTGTGACCTGGTTCACGGGCGGGCACTCGCCCACTGCTCATGGGGCCGGGCGGCGGTGCTGTTTTTTAAGAGTTTGATTCAGCCGAAACCGGTTTGGCTCAGTGGTAGAGCGTCGGTCTGCGGACTGAAGGGTGTCAGGTTCGATTCCGGTCAAGGGCATGTACCCGAGTTGCAGGCACATCCCCAGTAGGGGGTGTGCAAGAGGCAGCTGGTCGATGTTTCTCTTTCATCCACATTTCTAGCTCTCTATCTCTCTCCCTTCCTCTCTGTAAAAAATCAATAAAATATGTTTTTTTAAAAGAGTTTGATTCACAGCATAGGTTTCTGTAATCGGTTGAGTTTTGCTTCTTGGTGAGCCTGTTAGCTGTGGAGACAGGGTAATGGGAAATTAGACGGTAGAAATCTCTAGTTCTCCTAGCAGAGCTCAGCATCTTGTTCTGAGCAGCTTTGGGTGTGAGGTCCCCGGCCAGGTGATGAGCATGAGGGGACGAGCCCTGAGAAGAGCCTCAGTCGGTCCCTGTGGGAGCAAGCAGGGGTGCCTGCCCCAGCCAGGGGGCCAGAGGCCGGGGGTTCAGTGTTAGGAAAAGTCTCCAGGAGTGACAGCGGAGCTGAGTCCTGAAGATGCGGCGGGCCGGCCAGGGAAGGGGGATGGGGAGCCGAGCCGGGCCGGCCGCACCTCTGCTCTCCGTGGGTCTTGGGGGGACTGAGAGGCTCGTCTCTCCCTCCCCAGCCTGAACCGCCTGGGCCTGATCTTGCTGCTGCTGCAGTACTCCACCGAGTTCCTCTTCCACATGGCCCGGCTCTTCTACTTCGCCGATGAGAACAACGAGAAGCTGTAAGTGAGGCGGGAGGCCAGCCTGGGCAGAGGTCAGCGGGCACGGGAGGGTCCTGTCCCGGGTGTCAGCTCTCCCCTGCGCTGCAGGCAGCACCCTCAGGCGCTCTATTGTCCTGGACCATCTTACTCTAGATACCTCCTCCCTCCGCCACCCTCGCACCTTCTTCCACTGGGGTCCCTCCTGGAGAAGGGGGCGAAGGCTCCCTCACGGCCCTAAGGCTGCCGCCCTTCCCCACCTCTGCGCGCAGGTTTAACGCCTGGGCTGCTGTGTTTGGGGTCACCCGCCTCTTCATCCTCACTCTCGCCGTGCTGGCCATCGGCTTTGGACTTGCCCGCATGGAAAACCAAGCTTTTGACCCCGAAAAAGGGAACTTCAACAACTTACTTTGCAGGTGAGTCGGGCATACGGGCGCGACGGTAAGCCAGGGCACCCCGAGAGCGGCCCGGAGCCTCCTGGACTTGGCACAGCTCCTCGGAGGGTCAGGAGGCCGCACACCCCCGCGTCCCCTGCCTGTTGACGTTTATGGAAATCTCTGGGCGTTAGGCCGTCCTGACTTCCTGGCCCACAAAGACTGCCAGGGCCTCAGTCCACGGGGGAGCCCCCTCCCCTTTATGGTGCTCAGGAGGGTTCTCACCCAGCCCCGCGGACGCTTCACAGCTGAGTTCTCCTCAGGTTGGCAGTGGCTCCCGTGGCAGCCAGGAGGCTACGGTTTCCGGGAGATGCTTGGGTCTGGGAGGGTGTGTGATTGATCTAGGGCTGCACAGCTTTTAAGTTTCCTGCGAGATAAACCACACTGGGATTATTTCTGCTGTGCCCTAATTCATGTGCATTCTCCCAGTTTATATGGAGCTGAATGAGCTGTGTTCTGTGCTGTGGGTACAGAAGGGACAGGGTGACTGTATGTCTGCCGCTGCCTCCTTTCCCGCCTCCCTGGCTCTGTGCATCCATCTCCACCCCTGAGGGTGCTAAGCAGGAGCCCTGTACCCTCCAGGGGGTGGGAACCTGCCGGGCTGAGGCGATTGATGGGCCACAGAATCGGCAGGGTTCCAGGCCTCGGGAGTCCTTGCCCTGGGCTGTGGGCCCAGCCCCTGAGCCGCTCTGCCCCTCTGCAGGCTCTGCGTGCTGCTGCTGGTGTGTGCTGCCCAGGCCTGGCTCATGTGGCGCTTCATCCACTCCCAGCTGCGGCACTGGCGGGAGTACTGGAACGAGCAGAGCGCCAAGCGGAGAGTCCCCGCCCCCGCCCCCGCCCCCCGGCTGCCAGCGAGGCTCATCAAGAGGGAATCTGGTATGTGCCAGGCCATGGGCAGGCGAGACGGGGGCCGTCTGGGACGGGTAGGAAGGAGTCTACCCAGATCAGTCCCATGGCCCACCCTCCGTCTGGACTCCCTCCCTGGGCCTGGGGCCCTGGGCTCAGGGACTGGGCCGGCCGGCACGTGGCTGGGTGTGGGCCAGGGACAGGCTGTGGGTGGGGCTGGCCCTGACTCGGCACGAACCCTCTGGCTGTGGTGGGGCAGGGCGTGCTGGGTGGGGAACTCTGGCACGAAGCACGTCCTCAGGGTGGCTTCTGGGCGCCAGCCAATCTCTGCGCCTGCTCTGTTCGGCCCAGCTCCTCTGTCCTCACCTGCCCTCTGCTCTGGTCGTGGCCGCCAGGCTGCTGGCTCCCTCCGTCTTCGGGAATGACTCGAGATGGCACAGTACAAGGCGGGCAGGGGAGGGATACCCACTTCTCCGTGGGCCTTGCCCCTTCAGTGCCCGCCCGCCGCCTGCCCCCTCACGGCCAGCTCTGCACTTTCCGACAGCCTGAGGCCCGTCTGCACCAGGATGTGTTCTGACTCACTCGCCTTCTCCAGGTGTGGCCTGCTTGGCACGGGCTCATGTGTTAGAACGGACACGTGTGCGCTGGGCATGCCGGGAGCCAGGCTGGCTGGGTGGGATGGGCTGGAGGCAGCAGCCAGATGTGCCTCTTGGACTTGGAGCAAGCACACGGATCTGCTTTTGACAACAATGAAAAGATCTTCCTTTTCTGCCCTAATTTTTCTGCCAGAGGAGTGTCGGGCATCTGAGTAAGACATCATCCCTGCAGCCCCTCTGCCCCCTCCTCTTTGTCCTCCCCTTCCCCGGAGTGGTTGCTGATGTGGGCGGCTGCCCTGCAGGGGCCAGAAAGAAGCAGGACCCTGACGGTGGCGCAGTGATTCCAGCAAGGCCCAGCGCAGGTTCCCTGGTCCTTGGTGACTGTGTCTCCCATAGTCAGAGACCCACCGCCTCGAACGGAGCCTTAGTAGCAAGCCCCTCAGGAGAGCAGGAACCCGGGCATCTGCTGGGTCCTCTCAGCTCATCGTGGGGCGGCAGCTGGTCTTCCTTTCCGCCAGTCCCAGCAGAAACACCACGTCTGTCTGTCTCTCCTTACTTCCTAGGTTACCATGAAAACGGAGTGGTGAAGGCCGAGAATGGAACCTCCCCACGGACTAAGAAACTCAAGTCTCCTTAAGGCCAAAGTGCTGGGCACAGGAACGCTCTGTGGGGGCCCCGCACAGCAGCGGGGCCCCGGCCTCCGTCACTGCCACCCCTTCCTGCCCCTGTCGCTCCATCAAACAGCAGGAACCTACCTGTCTTTAAACAGGGCTGCTTCTCCTCCTTTCTTCTTGGCTTTCTCTTCCTCTCCCACACACCATTCTCAGTAAAACCAAAAATCTCCCGCTCCCTCCCCGGGCCACGCCCCGGCTGCAGCTCTGCGCTCTGTGGGGTGTTCTGGACGCCCCGGTTCTCACGCTAGCTTTCTGCTGGCCACCTCTCCTCCTACACCGCTGCTGCTTTCTCCTTTTCCTCCTTGGACCGTCTTGTGCAATTTTTCTGTGTCTTGATTTTGACCATAAGAGGGAGCGAGGTCCTAGACCCCGGCGTCGGTCCGGGGCCTGTCGAAGTGCAGAAGCCTCGTGCGAGGAACCTCCGCCCGGCCGGCCGGCAGCAGCCCCGGAGGTCCCGTGTGGCCGGGCAGGAAGAGGGAGACGGCCTCTCGGATCGCAGGCTCCTAGGTGCTGATTGACTGACGAGGTGTGACTGCAGCTCCGTGCACCGTCTCCAGGCCCCGCCGTGCCGCTGCTCCTGGTAAATGCCAAGGCGTCTGGCTCGGGGACCTGATGACTGGGCCCAGGAGGATGGTGTGACCGTGTCGGGTCCCCTGACGAGACGGCTTGCCCGGGGCGGGTCCTGCGTTGGAAACAGGCTGCTGCAGGACAAGGCTTCCCCCTGCAGAGCCAGAGCGCATGGGCTGAGCAGCAGGCTCTTCCGGAAAGTGACGGCAGGGTCAACCCTGGCCTTTCTTCAGCAGCCCCGGCTGCACTGCTTTTTCAACCGTTCACCAGCATTCAAAACCAAATCTGACAGCCTTGAGACCAGCCGGGCCTGTGCTGGTCTAAACCCCAGACCCAAGCAGCCCTGACGTCCTCTATCCATCCACAGGCCACCAAGCCCCTGCTGGCCCCGGGCCGGGAGGGTCACCTGTGCCATTCTCCCCAGGCCTCCCTTGTTGTTCTTTGGCTTTGGCACTGTCGTGTGCTGATGCTTGTTGAGCGCACCCGCAGTGCTTTAGGTGGTGTGCACCAGGACAGGCTGCTCGGGTGAGCAGCACAGCTGTGCCGAGCTTTCTGCCCTGTCCCTCGCATAGTCTGTCCCCTCTCCCCAGGCAAGGCCCCCGTGTCCTGATGGGCCCGCGGGGCTCCCACAGAAGGGTGAGGCCCCCGGAGGGCCTGCTTAAGAACTGAGCTCTGGGGTGCCGGCAGCGGGTCTTGGTGGCACAGGAATGTCAGTGTCGTTGGATGGGCTGGTTCCCTCTCTGGCGTCAAGTAGAAGCCAAGCCTCGGCTTATCATCCAAAGGGGAGAGAGGGATCTTTTCGTCAAGGCCACAACTCTTCTGGCATCACTTGCATCAGAGATAGTTTTAATTTCCCCGAGAACGAGGGGTCTGTTTCCTACCACCTGTGGGCCCTCATCTCTGTCAGATGGCTGAAAAGGAGCAGTCCCCCCCACCCCCCAGTTTCTGGTTACTCTTAGGGAATGGACATTGTTTTAGGAAATAGGCGTCTCTCCCATCCTTCTCTGAACATCTTGGGCTGCAAAGCAGAACCTGGGGAAAGGGTGGCCTGGTGGCTGCTGATGGCCGGTGTTCAGCCAGCAGCCTCCTGCACCTGCCCCAGCAGCCAGGCGCCTCAGGGAGGTCCCCGGCCACGTGTTCCTGCTCCGGGCTGCGTCTGCAGCTGAGCCCCATTCAGCTGTGGAGCCGGGCCTCCAGCAGATGCACGTGTGCTTGGGCTGGGGCAGCGCTGAGAGTAGGCACGTCCCGCCCACAGCAGCCTCTCGGGACGTGTTCTCAGCGTGCGTGCGTGCTCCCCAAGGTGTTCTCAGTGTGCTGTGCGCAGTGCCTCCGAGGTGAGCCCACCACCTTCGTGACCCGGCAGCTCCGGCTCCGTTTCCTAAGGCGCAGCAATGGGAGTCAGATCTTCTCTGCCCCCCAAACCCGAGACAAGGCAGGCTAGCATCTCACCAGCCGGGCTTCACGAGCAATTTGAGTGGGTATAAGGGTCATTGTGGAGGGCTTTGTCACCCCACTGGTCCCTGGCACATTCCTGTTAGAGCAGAGCCCCCCGTCTTTGGCAGTTGGCTCAAACCATGTTGCCGGGGACTGAAACAACTCGGTCCCACCACATCCCGTGAGCTCGCTAGGCCGGCTCGTCCTGATCTGGCAACTTTGGTTCTTCTTTCCGACGTAAACACCCTCTTCTGTTCCCAGCGTACCACACCCTCTGTCAGACACCCCACGTTGGGGAGGCCAGCTCCGCACCACCCACCGGAGCAGGAGGGCACAGGCCAATCTACCTCAGCAGCCGCGGCCCCTCCGCCTCTGAGTGGCCCCATGAGGTGGAGGCGGCCCCCAGGCAGCGGGGCCAGGAGAGTAGGGAGGCCGTGCTGGTGGGATGGAGGGTCCGTGCTGCCATTTCCCTCCTTGGAGCTCGGTGATGGGAGAGCTATTTTTACCACCCAGGCTCTGGGAGCTGCACTATTAATAAGTTGCATGTGTCCCTGCTGCAGGTGGGGGCAGTCCTGGGGGGTGGGGGCTGCTGCTCCCTTCTAGTCTGCTCTAACCCTGAGTGTCTGGGCCACCAGAGAGAGTGGTTGCCCAGAGAACCTTTCCCATTTGTCTGAAGCCAGAACTTACATTTCAGAAACCAAAACACTTCATCTGTGCTACAGCCTCTGCAGATGCAGCCCCTCAGGCCTGGACACCCTGGAGCCCGGGGTGCTGCTCCAGGGTGTGCTGCTGAGCTGTCGTGAGGGACCTTCCTCAGTTCCCTTAGCCTTTGGCTAAGTGCTGAATGAGGGGGGTCAGAGCATCCCCCCCCCCCCCTCCAAGAGGCCTGAGTAATTGGAGGTGGCTGGTGTGCGGCTGGGGCTGGTTTGGATTTCTTTCACAGCTTCAGCCTGTCCTGGTGGTTTCCCGGGCCGGGTGAGAGGGCAGGGAGGCCAGGGTGTGACTCCCTCCCTGCCTAAGACCTAGGCTGTGATCGGACGCCCATGTTCTTCACAGGCTTCCGCTGTTTCTTGGAGAGGGTGTTAAGAGTCAGACAATTGTGTGGTCCTTCCCTCTCCTGCCCTCCCAGCTCACAGCCCCATCTGTGAGGAGGCACTTTGGGCATGACTACAGATGAGGATCATTGTGGGATGGCTTGGAGCCTAAATAGAATCCCTTTCCCACCTGGGTTGGCCTGTGAGGGAGGCTTTGCCAACTTCTCACTCTTTAACCCCCGTTTTTGTGAAGATTAATTCCTCCCCAAAGGCTGATGAGGACCTACGTGCTGCCTCGTGTCCCCACACCCCACAGCCTTTCTATGGAGGCCTCAGGAAAGCGCTAGGCCCACTGGCTCCAGGGAGCCTGTCTGGCCGCCCATGTGAGTTTCGTCCTCAGCAGATTGCTGTTTCTGTAAGAAGTGCCTTAATTGCCGCGTGGTCCCGGCCTCCGCCTGTACTGTATGGCCTGGGCGCAGGCTGGCTGTCAGGAGCAGCCCGGGACACTGGCCCGGTGCAGTCACATGTAAAAGGGATGCTGATTGTGAGTTTGCCTCCTTTGTCTCAACCTCTCCTGCTTCATTGTATTAGGGCCTGGGGTCTATTCCGTTTTGTTTGCGGTTTCTCCCTGGAGTTGGTTTTCAGGCCTGGGTGGCTGGGAAGTCAGGGAAGGCCCATTGCAGGCACCGGTGCCTCCTACCTGTTCATACCCATTAAGAGAAGCTCAGGGGGTCAGGGGCACTAAGCCCATGTAAGTCTTTGGCCCCAACATGGTGAGACCAGCTCTTCCAGTCTGTGTCTCCTTCACCCTCCCATCCCTCCTCCCCCCAGATTATAAAGAAAGGTACCCTTGCTAAAACCTCTTCTGATCTTTTTGCTTCCCACTCAACCCAAAGTGTATCTGACAAAGGTGTTTACTTTGCAGTCAAGACGGTTAACTCACACATCCCCGTTGGACAATGGGTCTAGGTCGGCTATTGCAGAACTTCTTCCAGCTCCCACTTCAGTGTTACCTTGTGTTAGCAGCTACCCTCTCCACCCTCCCCCCCCCCCCCCAAGCCTGCCTGCCTTTCCCTTGCTCTTCCGGGTTGTGCAATAACCCTCCCAGCCAGTGGTCGGTCCACAGGCCTTGCTGTCCCTTACTATGCCCTTCGATGGGGAAGGGCAGGGGCCCATGGGAGGGGCAGTCGTCACCCCCTACAGAAGAACCGTTAGCCACTTCCCCTTTGTGCTGTCATTCTCGTGATCCTGGGTGGGTTTCTGTGGCACTCTAGTAGAACATTGTAGCGTCATCTTAGAAGTCCATATAATGTTTGTATAATCTGTTGAAAAGGAAAAAAACTATCCTCATGAAGGGGCATTAATAAGTCAGTGTCCGAGAATAAGATCTGGGACACCGAGGTGTGACCATCCTCTGCCTGGAAACCTCGAGTTTCTTGTTCACACGGAGATTTTCTGAGTCGGCCACGGCTGGACAGCCCTGTTCACCCGGTAGGCTCCACCTGTGCTTGGAAGTGCCACCACTTCCTTGGGTACAGATTCAAGTGTTTATGGATGAGATTAAATCTCATTTTCCAGTTCCTCTTGTTTAATAAACATCTGAAGGATAAGCAGAGATTGCTGGTGCCCTGGGCAACTCATAATGCAAATGTGGACAAAAAGTGTCTTTTTGTTTTTCTACTTTAGCCAGTTCATGTTATGGACCAAATTTCAGCAAGTAACTCAAGGAAATTTTGTGCCTGCCGTATTTATGCTCATGTAAAAGGTTCTAGTTTGTGTTTTTTTTTTTTTTTTTTGGGGGGGGGGGTGTTACTTTCAGTGAACTTTTTTCAAAATCCTTTTTCCACTGTTTCTGTCTGGTATGAAAACAAATTACAGTTTTGTATGGATTTTTTAAATGTACATTTTGAAACAAATGATCAGCAAATATTTTTGAAATAACTGAATAAAAAGGCATAGAATTATCAGTCTAATTGTCTCTGGTACAATTCCTTATATTGCTTTTTGAACAGGAAGCTTACCTTTGCTTTTACTTGAAAAAAATGGAATTGTGTCATTTTTAGTCTAATTTCTAATAGTATTCACTCTATTAGCCATTTCTTGATATGGTTGTTTGTTGTGCTCACATGAATTAGGGAATTGGAAGTAAGGAAGAAGAGTTATATTGAGAAACGGTCATCATTTTTATTTGTGTCTATTAGCAGTAAGGAGTGGAAAGGAGTGGTCCTGACGTGGGTTTCTGGGTTGGAAGCTTCACAGAGGAAAGTACACCGAGCTTGATGTCTACTGTGTTATGAAGTCGTTTGGCTGGGAGAAGACAGGATTAAGTAAAAGCCACCCAATATTTGTCCTGGTAATGGATACATGTGCAAGTATTTGTGATCATGTGGGCAGTGGGGATTGCTGGTGTCGGGTAGGTGGTTTACTGCCTGCAGCTGTGTGCTGTGTTTTCCAGACCATCCTCAGAGAGAGCTCAGGACATGAGTGCAGTTACAGGTGGCCGTTAGCCAAGGACACCTACAGGGAATGAGGATTAAATAGGAAACCTTTACCTGAGGCGAGGAGAGTGGTACTGGTGGAGGGCAAGCTTTGGTGCAGACTCAGGTTGCAGTCCTGCTCTGCCATGAGAAGCTAGGTGACCTCCAGCTTCTGGTGTCTTTGAACCAGGTAGAGCAGTGGTTCTCCACCTTCCTAATGCCATGACCCTTTAATATAGTTCCTCATGTTGTGGTGACCCCCAACCATAAAATTTTTACTGCTACTTCATAGCTGTAATTTTGCTACTGTTATGAATTATAATGCAAATATCTGAGGGGTCAAAGGGGCCAAGACCCACAGGTTGAGAACTGCTGAGGTAGAGGAAGGGATTCAGAGTCTGAGACTGCAGATCTGATAGTAGAATGGTGAAGACTTTCGGGGGTGGGGGGAGGCAGGGCAGTGGAGCGGAAATGCAGGTAACTTTTCTGAGCTGTTTGCTCACTGTACTCTACAGTTTTGGGGTTGGTTGGTTTGCTTGCTTGTTTTTGCAGGGAGTGGGAGTGGTAAGATTAAGGGACAATGAATGCTAATCCATGGTACAAATAAAATATTCAATAAATGAATATTTTTTAATGAACATACGTGCCAGCAGAATATTCAGGAGTTACTCATCCAAGTGACCCTTGATTCTTGAAATGTTTAGAAGCGTCTTCTTAACCAGCTAGTCCCAGAAACCCTCCAAACCTACAGATGAATTTGACACATTCGTGTACACCCTAAATTAGATGATATTTTCAAGGCCCACTGCTAGTATATAAAGTATAGGCCTAGGGCCTGAGCAGTGGTAACTCACAAGCCAATATTCATACAAAGGCAGATTTTACTAGCCCTAAATCTGTAAGCCACTCACCATCTCACCAAAAGATGTGGTGTATTTCCCTGTAATCCTGGGGCAAGCAGGCAATGGCTGAGCAGCAATACCAGTGCTGTGTGCTTATTTCCAAAACCCCAAATGATGCTTTTCCTAGAAAATTCTATCTTTTCTTCTGCTCTCCTTGTACACCTGTATTAGTCAAGGTTCCCTAAAGAAACAAAAACAATGGGATCTATAGAGAGAAAATAAGATTTATTATAGGGAATGGTTCACGTAATTACAGTTTGACTAGTTGGCCAACGAGAATACCGTGAGAGCTGATGGTGTGGTTCCAGTCTGAAGGCCAGCAGGCTTGAGACCCAGGAAGAGCTAATGTTTGAGTCAGAACACAGGAGAATGCTGATGTTGCAGTTTGAAGGCATGCAGGGGGAATTCACTCTCAACTTGGGGAAGGTCAGCCTTTTTGTTCTATTTAGGCCTTTAATGAGTTGGAAGAGGCCTACCCACACTGGGAGGGCAGCCTGCTTTACTCAGTCCACCAACTCAAATATTCACCCCACTCAGACATCCAGGAATAACATTTAACCAAATACCTAGGTTCCCTAAGGCCCAGTCAACACGACACATAAAGTTAACTATCACAACACCCCCATCTCTACCTCCCTCAAAAAGGCACCCACCTTAGTTCTTACAAGATGCAAACTAACTTAGACTTCAGAAAAAGTGAAATATAAGAAACAGAAAGGAATATACTTTCAAGGGCTTGATATACTTTCAAGCCTCTACAAAGAGTACAAGGTATATTTCAAAGTGTAGGTCCAACCTCAAAACACGATTGCATCCTCTCCTCAGCCAGGTCAGTTTGAGAAAGCCCGGACAAAGTTGTAGTAGTTGATCTTGTCTTCTCCGTGAGAGCACAGTCTGATTAACTGCAGGGGTGACAGAGAGCAGGTGGGACAGACGTGAGGGCTGCCTGCTGCGTGACTGCAGGGGCCTATCAACACTGATCCCACCTTTGCAAACCAGTGCAGTTTTGATACCCTCAGTTGGTTTTGAAGTGATCCTGTGAACCCAGTACATAGGTTGGATATTACCCGCCTCACAGTTAATAAAATCAAACCTCAGATGGAGTATAATAAATGGCCTGGCCAAGATTTCAGAACAATATTTGCATTTTTAAGGGCACTATCACTTTCAATTATTTTTTTAAAAAGTAATTTTTATTGTTTTTACATTTAAAGACAAGACTTTGTCCACCCAGTCTGTGCAGAGTAAGACTCAAAATAGTGAGTTGCTGTTATTGCAGTCTAATAGAAAAACCTAGTTATGCCACGGCCCAAACCATGTCCCCTGAAACTCAGTTGTGAGTGGCAGAAGACTGACTTGGTTGCCTTCATAAGACACGTGCAAATCCACCCCACCCACCTTCCCTGTCCCACTCCCACTGACTGCAATTCCTCTTTCTCAAGTCAGCTCACACATAATGCACATGACTTAAAATCGGGAATGCTGTCAATCTGAGCTTTGGGAAGCTAAATGGGCATTGGCCCATGTGAACAAATACCCTTCTTCCTGCCTCCCCCACTCCTAGCTAATGTTCTGCCTACAAAATATCGTCTCCAGCCTAGTCATGTTAGCCCTAAGCAAAAGCGCTCCCCAAATGAATTTTACCTGTGAACATTCCTTTTTGCTAAAAGATCTTTAAAATCTACAGCAGTGGTCGGCAAACTACGGCTTACAAGCCACAGTTTTCCGCCCTATTGACTAATAAGTTTGCTGACCACTGGCTACAGCAACTCAATTTTCTTAATGAGAATGTCTCAATAATAATAAGTCACAGTCATTGGCAAGGTGGGAAAAATCCTGTCTGACTTCTAGGGGATCCCTGGTTAAAGTTGTCTATAATGGGGAAAAGGCAGGAAAGGCTCTTTTCAACTCATGAAAATTCTAGGAGGAGAATGTCTATGTTGCCATGGGGCTCCTTTTGACAGGCCACTTCATGCCTTCTTCCATGCTAGTCCTCCAGATGGGCTAACGTACTTACTGCTGTGAAGGATGTCACAGGGTGCCCACCAACCTACTCAGTCCAGTGTCTGTGAGTTGCCCTGGGTGGCCGCCCCCTAGGACCACCTCTGCTGCCCTCCTGCAGCCCTCACAAGTCTTATTAGCCTCTCTGTGCTGCCTAGCCCCACACCACTTAAAGATGCCTTGCAACAGCAATGCGAACAGAAAGCCAATGAATCGAGGGAAAACCATAATCAGGACTGAACAAGAGACCTGACTTGAGCATCCTAGATCTTCCCCAGTTAACACAAAATACAAAGGCAGTTGTCTTTAGGAGAGAATGAACGGTGCACGGCCTTGCAATTACCTGGGGAAAGAACTCATACTGACCTCCTTAGTCAAGGAATCGTCAACTGGGACGTTAAGAGTGCTACAGATTTTAAAGAACTCCTCTTTGTCCACGTATCCTGTCGCTTCCTTGTCATAAAGTTGGAATGCCTCTTGAATGTTGTCTCTACAGGGATGATCTTTCACTTGTTTCTGGATGCTGCCTATTAATGCTTCAAGTTCCTGCATGCTTGGATCCACTCCCGTTGGTGTTCTGTGGAGGAAGGAAGGAAATGCTGGGCAATGGAATTTACTCTTGGCTACTCTTATCTTAGTGACCAAGAACTTAGTGACCACTTAGTTCTCACTTGGTGCAGTCTGGGAAGCTTCTAATGACAAACAGCTTCGACACAGAGCTGACCGATCGCTGAACACTAGCCCGCAGTGGCTGGCTGCTGGGTGACCTCTGCCTCAGGACAGCCTACGAGGGGCAGCGTCTGCACTGAAGCTCAGCCTCCCTGGCTGCCGCTGTCAGAGCCAAATCTAACACCACCACCATCCTAAGTGCCTTGTTTGTGGGAGTCGCATGATCTACTTCATCCACATGACATCATCTAAAAATAAAGGTCTGAGTTTTAAAAATATTTCTCTATTACTATGCAGTCAGGGGTCTCTTGTACTTGAACAATCTCTCTACAATTCACTCTTGAGTTTTGAGCAAGGTTATCTCTGAAAGCTAAGAGACTGCTCTGTGTGATGGATTGAGAAGTTCAGGATTAGATGTCCTGAAATGAAGAGAGACCAGTAGCCCAGAACGTTAGGAAAAAAGGTCTATCCTTTCAAATCATAGTCAGGATAAGCAGAGCCAGATTTTTATTTCCTTTGAACATGATGGTACAGTTATAAAATTAGCAGAAGGAAGCAAATAATAAAATCAAAGCAGAAATAAATGAAATAGAGATTAGAAAAATGATAGTAAAGAGCAATAAAACTAAGAGGTCTTTTATTTTTCTTAAGATAACTAAAACTGACATACTTTTAGCTACATTAAGAAAAAAGAAGACTCAAAAATGAAAGAGGGAACATTATAACTGATAGCCACGGAAATACAAAGGATCTTAAGAGACTACTATGAACAATCATACATCAACAAATGGATAACCTGAAAGAAATGGATAAATTCCTAGAAATAAACCAAACAAAAAATTCCTAGAAACATACAACTTACAGGGATTGAATTATCAAGAAATAGGAAATCTGAATAAACCATAACAAGTAGGAGATTGGATCAGTAACCAAAAATCTCCCAAAAAAGAAAAATCCAGTACCAAATGTTTTCACTGGTGAATTCTACCAACATTTTAAAAAGAATTAATAGCAATCCTTCTCAAACTCTTCCAAAAAAAGTGAAGTGGAGGGTACACTCTTAAATTCACAATACAAGGCCATTATTACCCGATACTAAAGAAAAACAAAGATGCTACAAGAAAAGAAAATTCAGGCCAGTATCCCTGGTGAACACAGATATAAATATCCTCAATAAAATATTAGCAAACAGAATTAAACAATACACTATGATGAATAGGATTTATCCTTTGTATCAAGGATGGTTCAACATACACAAATCAATAAATGTAATATATCACATTAATAGAATATAGGGTAAAAGCATAATTATCACAATAGATACATAAAAAGCTAACATCTTTTCATGATAAAAGCTCTCAACAAATTAGGAATAGGCCAAAACCGGTTTGGCTCAGTGGATAGAGCGTCGGTCTGCGGACTGAAGAGTCCCAGGTTCGATTCCAGTCAAGGGCATGTACCTTGGTTGTGGGCACAACCCCAGTAGGGGGTGTGCAAGAGGCAGCTGGTCGATGTTTCTCTCTCATCAACGTTTCTAGCTCTCTATCCCTCTTCCTTCCTCTCTGTAGAAAATCAATAAAATATATTTAAAAAAACAAACAAAACCAAATTAGGTATAGAAGGAATAGAACTCAACCTTATAAAGGCCATGTATGACAAGCCCATAGCTAACATCATTCCTCATAGTGAACAAGATAAGGATGCCCACTGTCACCACCTCTAATCAACACAGACCTAGCCAGAGCAATTGGGCAAAAAAAGAAATAAAAGATATCTAAATAGGAAAGGAAAAAGTAAAACTGTTTGCAGATGACAGGATCTTATATGTAGAAAACCTAAAGATGCCCCTAAAAAAACCTGTTAGAACTAGTCAACATATTCAATAAACTTCCAGAATATAAAAATCAATGTACATAAAACAGTAAACTATCTGGAAGAGAAATTATTAAGGAAATAATCTGCCAAAACCGGTTTGGCTCAGTGGATAGAGCATCAGCCTGCAGACTGAAAGGTCCCAGATTCAATTCCAGTCAAGGGCACGTATCGTGGTTTCGGGCACATCCCACAAGATGTGCAAGAGGCAGCTGATCGATGATTCTCTCTCATTGATGTTTCTAACTCTCTATTCCTCTCTCTTCCTCTCTGTAAAAAAATCAATAAAATATATTAAAAAGAGAAAGAAAGAAAAAAAATCCCATTCACAATAACTTTAAAATAATAAAAATACTTAGGAATACATTTAACCAAGGAGATGAAAGACCTGTGCACCAAAAATGATGACATTAATGAAAGAAATTGAAGACTGTGTTCCTGGGTTGGCATAATTAATATTGTTAAAATATCCATAATACCAAAAGTAATCTATAAATTTAATACAGTCGCTATCAAAATTCCGATGACATTTTTTCACAGAAATTAAACACAAATTCATACTGAACCATAAAAGACTCCAACTAGACAAAGTGATGTTGAAAAAGAACAAAGCTGGGGATATTACAGTGCCTGGTTTCAAACTATAAGTTATAATAATCAAAACAGTATGGTACTGGCATAAAAACAGACATATAAACCAATGGAACAGAATAGAGCCCCCCCAAAATAAACCCATGCATATATAGTAAACAATAAAGTTGGTGGGTAGGTGCTATGTGATGAGTTTGGAGCCAAATTCTAGGATGACTGGTTTGGTAACTGTTGGATGAAGGTAGAGAAAGGAAGTGGGAAAGTGAGTTAGGAGACATTGTGGAAACCTAAGTAAGCAATGGGAATATAGCAGAAACTGGGGGTTACTTATCACAAATTCATCCTCTCCTCCTTTTGTTTGAGCAGCAATTAGGAGTAGCCATGTGACACAACTCAGACAATGAGCAGCAAGCAGAAGTTGCTAGGTGGGCCTTCTAGATAAGTCCTTTAAAAACAGGAAAGACATGTTGAGAATGGCTGTTTAGTCTTTTCCCCTTTGTTCTTCCTCTTCCTCCTGACTGGAATACAGATGCAGTGCTGGAAATGGAACATTCACTTTGTGGCCACAGAATTAAAAAGCATGTGGACAAAAGCTACCTGCTCAGGATGTCAGAGAGATAGAAAAAGTCAGGTCTCTGTCACAGAACCACCATGCCAGCTTCAGACTGCTCACCTCCAGACATTGTGTTCCATGAGAAACATAACTCCACTGGCTTAAGCTAATTTCTAGTCTGCTTCTGTTTTTATGGCTGTTATTATTATGTGCAGACTGATTAAATTAGGAAATGGTGGTGAAAATGAAAAGAAGTCAGAGACAAGAGATATCTCTATATATAAAAGCCCAGCGACTAGAACGGCGGAATGACCAAAACTACCAGAACTACCAGTGGCTATGACCTGCACTTTGGCAGCCAACCAGCCTGATACCCCCCGCCCCCACTCCCCAAAGCCACCCGGCCCCTGATCAGCTCCCAACATCTCAATCAGGGGCGGGGCTGGTTGGCCAACTGCCCATGGCCCCTACCCTATGCCTGCCCAGCCCGATGGACTCCCATCAGGGTGGGCCAGCCAGCCCCAACCCATGCACAAATTTGTGCACCAGACTACTATAATAGTTGTAGAATAAAATGAAAAGGAATTAAGAGCTAATTGAATATGGTATCTCCAAGGTCTTACATTAAGGGCAGTGGAACTTTGCTATGATTGAGAGAAAGAGGGGAATGAGCATTAAATGTTTGTCTCCTGTGTGCCAGACACTATGCTGGTCTTTACATATGTTATCACAACTCATTGTTATCACAACTTTATGCAACAGGTAAACAAAAAGAAAAGAGAAGGAAGATCAGGTGTACTAGAAAGATGAAAACAAAGTTGTACCAAGTAGAAGATGCTGAAGATTCAGCTGGATGAAGCCACACCCAATAGGCAGACAGGAATCTAGGAATGGAATCAGGAGAGAATGGTCTGGATGGAGAGCAATAGATACCCTGCAATGAGATAAGTATTTAGAGAAAGCAAACTACAGGTCCACAAACAGGATCTTGAGAAACACCAACCTAGTAGACAGAAGTAGGAAAAAAGATACAAAGAATAGGTTTTCAGAGAAGTAGGAAAAATAATAGAAGTTCTGATTTATTAGAATTCAAGAGAGGATTTTAAAAAGGAAGTGGTAAAGAGTAACATAAATGTAGATAAAAAAGGCTAGACAATAGACCAGAGAGTTGGCAAACCACAGTCCATAGGTCAAAGCCAGCCTGCTGCCTGTTTTCTGAAATAAAGTTTAATTATAATACAGCCATACCCATTCATTTATATTTGTCTAGGCTGCTTTCACCCTAGAAGAGCAGAGTTGAATAGTTACAACAGAGCTGATATGGTCCACAAAACTTAAATTTTGTACTACCTGCTTCTTTACAAAAGTTTGTCCTAGATTATGAGCTACCTTCTATATTTGCCTAAGCATTTATTACCGTCTGGCAAATGGTGCAAATTCAAATAGCTGTTGAATTAAGAGATGATTAGATGTGGAAACAGTAATGTTCAAGAAAAAATTTATGAAGAGTTCTAAGGAGCAGTCAGAAAGGGAGGTGGTTACAAACATAAAATAGAAAAATTAAGTTTGGAGAAGTGAGGGTTACTTACCTTTGACAACAAGCTTAAAAGAAAATGAGTGATCATACAAAAACATTCTAATCTAAAGAGTTGAAAATTGAAGCAGCTCACTTGGATCATTTGTTCTCATATTGAGACCAACTGCAAAGTGAATGTGAAATGACAATATTTGGGAATGTCTATATGGGAAAGATGGCTAGAAGTGGAAAATTGGGTATTGAAAGGATCCTTGAGCAGGGGTAAGAAGGCTTCTTGAAGCTGAAGAGCACATGGGCATGCTAACAGAACAAGAATAATATATATGAACATGTGTCTTTTCATGCTATTCATACA